CTCCGATGGAATTGCTGGTTTCTGAGTGACGAGAAGAAAATTGTAGGTGGTAGAACTTCTTTGCTGTACTGTACTGTAATGGAGGAAGATTGGATTTATAGCCCAGTGGCACCCCTTCAGCTCTGAAAACTCCTCGTAGCGCCGACTTTAATTTTAAAGCATCTGTATTGTTTTCCCTACTGCCAATGTTCTTTCTGATAAAAGTTACATAATTTCTGGTTTATTGGGTAAATACACCGAGATTTTAGTAAGAAACACTCACAAGCCAGTTTTCAGGTATCGCACTGAAGTAGAATTAAAATAGAACGAATAAATGTAATATAAAGATACATTTTTTTGTTAAGAAATAATTGTTGATAGGATAACACTGCCTGCCGTCACCTATGTATCCCTTTGGAGACATCCATGAAAAGGAATGCGTGCCGTTATATTAGGAACCACTTGAATCTATTGTTCTAATTTATTTGTATTCTTAGAGAAGTGCCTGGAATCCAAAGGAAAGGAACAGTTTCAGTGTGGGTCTCTTGTGGTATGGCTTTTTAAGATATTATACCGAAGAGTTTGACTTCAAGCATGACGTGGTTTGTTGCAGAAGGACAGAAAAGCTGACCAAATTAGAAAAAATGTGGACCAAACACGTGTTTGCAATTGAGGGTAAGGTGTTATTATTCTTTACTTTTTTTACTTGAGAACACCAATCAAGACTCCTCACATTCGATTGTAGAATCAACTCAGAAGAAAGTTGTGGCCAATTATCTTGTTAAGCTTTTTACACTTTACAGCCTCGTTTTGAGATTAGAGTAGCATTTAAAATGCACTTATACCAACACAAGCAAACTTCCCGCCAAAACTCACCCCTCATTCTTATGATACCTGTTGTTTACAATTTGTGCTAAGAAACTCCGAAGGAGCCAAGTTATTAGCTATGAAAATATTCCGCGGCCGACAGTAATTGAATTAACTTGGAATTGAGCGCTGTATTGAGTTTTGTAATTTGTGACTTTTGGTGTACTTTAATAGTTATTCCTGTCGAATAAAACGAAAGCCTTCTTCACCTGCGCACGACTTGCTTTGCAGACCCTTTCAATCTGGACCACAACTTGGGCGCAGGCGTGACAGGGAATATGGCGAACTATATTCAGACCACGTTTATCAGAGGACGTGAACGCTTTGGAGTTCCACGATGTGATATACCAAAAGAGTTCTTGCAAGGGTACTTCTTTGATCTTACAGATGGCCTTGAAGTTCCAAGTGACAGGAATTGTCGCGTGTGTGGTAAAATAGGCCATATTGCAAAAGATTGTCCTCTCTCTAAGGCCAACCGACGTGCAGAGCAAAGGAAGGAACAGGAGGAAAGGAAATCGGGGAAAGAAACAGGCGAGAAAATGAACGTGAAACAGATGCTCTTTGGTGCAGGCTCCGTACGTCCAAGATCTGCTTCTGCAACAGGCAAAGAGGGACAAAACAAGAATGTTGACGACAGTATGCATCTGCCATCGACATCATCTCGCCAAGGTGCTAACGCTTCGGATGTAACATCTCTCTTAAAATCTCAACCAGATTCACAAGATCTTTCGTCTCCTCCAAAGGAGAGCAGGAGCATCGAGTCGAGAGGAGTCGCTGATAAACTATCTGAAATACCAACTATGAAAACACCTGACGATACTCTTCTGCAGGGCTCTCTAAGTGTGCATTCAGTTACTAAAGAGACTTTGGTGGAATCAAAAGAGGGCATATCCCAACCCATACAGACAAGCCACATCTCGGATGTTAAGAATGAGAAGGGTGATGAAGAAATAAATGTAGATGACTCAGCAGGCATCATACCACCTGCGGTTTTACCTGGGTCAAAGGACGAGGGTGTCAGTAATACAGCAACATCAAGAGTACGTACTTCTTCATCAGTACAATCCAGTCACTCTGGAGAAATGGAACCACCTCCCGGCTTTCACAACCTAGGCGGGATGTCTCAGGTGTCTGGTGAAGTATCCCCACAGCTTTTACCTGATGGTCTCCCACAGTCTCCCTCTGTAAATGGATCATCACCCATTATCTTACAAGGTCAGACTATTGTTATGGGCACTCCACCACGGCATCCAGTAAGCATGTTCCACCCCGAAATTGCTCCGTTTTTAGTTTCTCCTGCTCGACATGACATGTGGCTGAGGCAACAGGGTGGGATCATGCAGTTTCCCCATACTGCACCTGTGAGGCAACTTGTTCCTTATCCTTTGTCACCTGAAGTTCAAAGGGTTCAACAGCCAAAGCAACAGTGGAGTGGTCCTGCAGAAAACTTTCCAGTGGATCATCCCGCCTCCGCTCACCGTGGATTCCATCGCCTTTTGGAGCACAACCAGCGCATGCTTCCCCACAGCCCCCCAAATATTTCAAGATTTGCTAATTGGCCTTTGGGACCAGACAGCCCACCCCCTAATGCGACCAGCTACGAAGACCCAGCAATATTAAGAGGGCAGCAGTTTGCTTCGCATCCAGTGAGGCATCCTCCTTTTCCTGAAGGCATTTCTCCCACTCTCACACCACGCCAGACCCAGTTTCCTCCTGGCACCCCTCCACAATACCCTCAATTTCTGCCTGGTACTTCTCCACAGCAAACCCCCTTCCCTGTTGGTTCTCCTCAACAGACTCAATTTCTTCCTGGAACTCCTCCAAAGCGAACCCATGTTCCTGTTGGTTCTCCTACACAGCAGACTCAATTTCTTCCTGGAACTCCTCCACAGCGAACCCATGTTCCTGTTGGTTCTCCTCCACAACACCCTCAATTTCTGCCTGGTACTCCTCCACAGCAAACCCATATTCCTGTTGGTTCTCCTCCACAACAGACTCAATTTCTTCCTGGCACTCCTGCACAGCAAACCCATGTTCCTGTTGGTTCTCCTTCACAACAGACTCAATTTGGTCCTGGCAATCCTCCACAGCAAACCCCCTTACTTGTACGTTCTCGTACACAACAGACTCAATTTCGTCCTGGCAATCCTCCACAGCAAACCCCCTTACCTGTTAGTTCTCCTCCACGACAGACTCAATTTCATCATGGTGTCTCTTCACGGTCCCCTGTTGCCCCAGGACAGAGTATGCCACAGCCACAAGGAAACAGTTTCCAGCATACCATCGGAACACACATGGTCAGTGCACCATATTGGCCATACCGGTTCGATTACTACTAGTTATTGTGTTACTATCCTTTTAAACATATATACTCAAAAATCGTTGTTGAGTCAGCTTTTTTTGTGCACTGGGTGAAGAGATTTTAGAGCAAAGTTCAGCTGTTTTTGTAGGCTAGTGGTTGTATGCTCCCCATATTATATACAACCAATGTAGATGTTTACTGGGACTTTTTCTTGGAATCAAAATCTAAGCTGTTGCAGTTAATGCTCATTTTTGCCATCACGACTCGTTAACTCGAGGACGAGTCGTAGTTTCCATGTAACCCTTTTTCATCTTTGGTGGTGATTGGTTGGTTTTTTTTTACGTTTCGCTACTGTATTTTTCTTTCATTGTCGAGAACTGTATGGTTAATGTGGTGTACTGGATGTTTAGACAGGAGAACAGTTTATCAGCCTCTTCCGGGCTGCTGAAGAAGAGGTAAAGAAAGAAGACATTGCCCCAACGAATCCCCCTCCAAATGATGAGTTTGAGGTATGTACTCAGTGCTCAGTGATCTTACTTGTTGCATCGAGATTCTTTGTTCCGACATGAAATATTTCGTAGACGTTTTTGAAAATATATTAATTTTCCTTTGTTATGCGCACCTAGTAATGCTCGTGTAACTGTGGAATGACTGCATTTTGCATTTTCTTTGGACACTTTGCTACCATTGTCAAGTTGCATTTTGGTTATAATTTACATTTCTGCGTTCGATAGTTGTAAAAATGTCTGAGAGACTTCTCTCTATCATTTGAAATTTTTAGTGGATTGAACGTTTCAGAAGCTAATGATTAGTTTAGCCTCCCTTACTTATAGGAAGTGGTAGTGTCGGATGAAGATCCTAATTGATCTCTTCTTCCACAGTCTAACGTATTCTTGCAATTGTGCCCTTTCCCTTTCTCGTATTTTTGAAACATATTTCCCATTTTATGTCAGTCTAAGGACCTGCACATTGCTCCAAAGAATTTGAAAGCTGCTAAGACACCAGAAGAACACCAGTTGTTATCCAAGCTGAGCAAAGTGAAGAGCCTATGGGAAGGCAACGCTACAGCTGAATTGCAAAGCAGTTGCTCAGCTCCAGTGCCTGTAAAGGAATTGAATCCCAGTGGGCACACTGAAGTTCAAGAATCAGATGATGCGATTGCTTCCTTCCAAGACACCGA